ACACACACACACACACACACACATACACACCCTCTGGTGGAGTCATTTTAATTGTTAAATCCTGAAAAAATTTTGAACCTGTCTGAAAACCATATTTAATAAATGTGTCCACGGAAAAACTTTAATTAATAACGTAAATTGTTCAGGCTCATTTTCTTAGGCTATCCCAGTGCCACAGTGTCCTGTTACAGCAACATCTGAAACACATGCCCACGCAATCTGCCAAGTCAACCACTGTATTACTATGCAGTGTGGATACATGGGTATCATCATCATCATCATTATTATTATTGTTATTGTTATTATTTTGTGTGCATGGTGCTGGGGATTGAACCCAGGGCCTTGTGCATATGAGGCAAGCACTCTATCAACTGAGCTATATCTCCAGCCTTGGGCCTTATTATTTTTAAAAACTTTTATTAGTGGAAAATTTCAAGTATATTTAGAAGAGAGAATCAATATTTTTTTCTGTTTATTTCCTCACCTACTTATGTACCCATATGCTTTAGGAGAAAAATCAGTTTATCATTATCCACCAACTACATCATTTATCCTTGGTTCTGAGTGGTTTCTTGTTAGTAGGCAACAATTCTTAAGCAAGTAGTGTGTATTATTTTAATGTTTATGTAAATTCGAAATTTATAACTATTAAAAAGGAACATCCAGAATGGGGATGGCTTAACATTCCCTTTTAGGTATCATAAAAGTTAATCCCCCGCATCTATAGAATAATGAAATGACACTCACAAAGGACTACTGTTTGGAAATCATTTGATACTGGGTAAAGCTCAAGACAATCTTGATACAATGCAAAAAAATTGGTACACAGTGAAACAAATAATTTTTATTTTGGGAATGAAACGCATTTATTATTCAGTAAAAAAGGGGTGGCTTATTGTTTGTAATGTGGGTGTTGAATGTAAACAGTGCTCAAAAAATGGAGGAGTGGTGGAATGATCAGAGTGCTAAATACCTATTTCATGAGAAAGGTAATCCATTCAAATAGAGAAAACCTGTGACCACCCATGAGGAAAAACCGAAACAGCATCACAAACAACTTTTATAAAGTGAAACGCTTAAAACTAGGAAAAATGTTGTTAGTGTTGATAAAACAAATTAAAATGAGGAAAATATTATTAGAATTTTTAGAACACTTTTAGACTTAAAATACTTGATAGGAATTAAGAGAAAAATTGACATAAATATATTATTATAATTTATGTTTAGGATCTATTTATGTTTTTTTTAAGCATCAGAAATTTACTGGTTGCTCAAAACATTACATTGATCTTGACATCATACATCATACGTTTGTTTCAAATGGGGTATGAATTCTTATTATTCCCCCGTGTACAGATTGCAGAATAGGATCTATTTATTACAGAACTTACACCTACTGAAATGAGAAAATAGCTGTTTGGTAGATATGAATAAGGCAATAAGCTAAATTTTCATCATGTTAAATAAATGAACTACTTCAGTTAAAAAAGTGTTTTAAGTGACTCAAAACAAAAAATTGCACATTGAGATTGGCTTATGGTTTTTGTTAACCTCAAACTGTTTTGCTGAGGTTTGAGATTAAAGGATTCATTGAGAAATATTCACATGAACACCTTTAAAGGATGTGTCTCCCCAAGTATAATATAAAACTCTATGAAGGCAGAAGTCTATTTTATTCAAGTTGATACAACTCTGGGTCTAACATAATGCCTGGCAAACAGTAAGTGCTAAATGTTTGTTGAATGAATAAAAGAAATGCATGAAGGCTCACCTGCTTTGTAGACATCTAGGAGAGTTGCTGAGTACCTGACAAAAACGTTGTCTTCCGTGACGGATGTGATGCTAACTTTGTAAGCTGGCCAGAGAGCAAAGCAAGACAAGACAAAAACAAATAATTCAGGCTGAATACCACTGATACTATGTTCAATAAAAGCCAGAATTCGCCAAACAAATGAGAAACGCAGCATGGCAGCTATTATGGGAAACCTGAGGTAGATCTTACTTCTCCCAAGGAGCGGTCCTAAGCCCCTTCCTAAGCCTATGAGAATCATTAGCTCTGGCCATGGTTACAGAATAGGCTGATTAGGGTAAAGACGTACCAAATCAAATAACAGAAGCACATAAAACCCACCAACAAGATAAACTCATGTTAGATGTAAAGTTCAGATGTTAATCCTTTAAGGTTAGTGGCGTCACACCATGGGCACTTTGAATTAAAGAGCCCCTTCCCTCTCTACCTGGAACAGTGGCCCTTTCTCTCTCTGTCAGGCCTACCAGGGGAAACAACCTGCCAGCTTGTCTCCTTGATTTTCTTCCTCATATATCTTCATTGATTCTGATGTTTGATTTTAACAGGATTCTGTTTTCTCACTCATCCTTGCTGGGATTGGCAACTATCTGACATGAGCCACCCCAATCCTATTTTCGAAGGTTCAGGCTTCAGTGTTTGACTCATGGCATGCTGGACCTTGGCTCTGGAATGACCTGATTGAAGGGAATCATCTCTTCTACTTGGCTTCATAGAAGACTCCTTTCTTATTTGTGCATTTGTTGGGGATGGAGTTGCAGAGAAAGAACTAAAAAAGAGATTTTATTTCTGAGATCCTTCTAGTCTATCAGTCTATCCTAGATAAAGATAAATGATGGATAGAGAGTGGCAGAAGAAAAAGTTATGTAAATCAGTGGCTTAAGATGTGTAAAAAAGGGGTTGGGGTGTGGCTCAGTGGTAGAGGGCTTGCCTAGCATGTGTGAGGCACTGGGTTCGATTCTCAGCATCACATAGAAAAATAAGTAAATAAAGTCATTATGTCCAGTCTTGGCTGGGTATGCATGTCACTTTCATTATTTATCATGAAAATCCTATTTCTTTGCTAGAGAATAAATAACTTTCCATGTTAATGTTGAAAATCGATGCCATTTTTCCTTCAAGGGACAAATGGAATCTGGTATCCATATAATCACTAGTTAAGGTTTCTGACCTTTCTAATGGATCATGGATTCATAAAATTTCATGTTTAAAGGAACTCTATTGAACAGTTGAACTTACCATATGCAATCTCTGGTTTACATGCCGTTGCTTTCCTAGTCTCTGCAGAGATCGTCAGATCCAAATCTTCCTGAATTTGCCCACAGTCAGCTGGGTGTGAAAAATGGCACACGTTAGGTCACTGTGAAGAAGCTGGTGCTCCCTATGGGAGTAAACATGGTGTTTCATGAGCCCTGAGGCAATCCAATAGAATCTTACAAAAGCCAGATTCCTAAAAACCTGCCATTTTCTTCTCTTCCATTAAGTGGAACAGTACATAAAATAAAAACAAAACCAACCAACATGTGCCAAATCTAGAACATAAGACTTATTCTTAGATGTGCATTAACTCCACAACCAGTTTTACAGAAATGTATTTGCTTCCCTTGAAGAACAGGGAAAATTTTTCCATTGGAGTATAATCAAAAGTCCCTTGAACAATCTAAAATGATAATCTGATTTATAACTATAAGATGGTATAATAAGTACATGGGAAACATGTAGATATCAAGGATTTTGAAAGAACCCAAACCAACCCAGACCCTCCCGGAGCCTGTGGTTGGTTACCGGTGAGTTCTGGATCTTTCCCTTGATCAAAAAAAGCTGTTTTCAATTTATGAAAGATGGAGCCGAACTAGACCATAGACTTCCCTGACTGGGAGGGATAAGGAGAAAGGAGCTAGTGGCTTAGCCCCAAGTCCGTTTTCTTGGGCTTGGGTCCTATGTTAAAAAGATTGGGGGAAAGTAAAAATTTCCCATCATGTTACCATGGGGTATCCAACAACCACCTGCATGGGTTTCCCTGCTCCCGGGCAGTGTTCCACGGGGTTGTTCTAGAGTTATGCAGAAGTAGCTTCACAATGCACAAGGAATCCATTAGCTTTCTCTCAGTTGAGATTACATTTCCACTTCTCAGAAAGCAGTAGTTTGTCAAACAGCTTCCCCCAGATTAATTTTGGATTATGCGTGGTTGCTTTAAACAAGCATGCAGTCTAAGTAAGTGAACTTTACCTTCTATGCACTTGCACATTGGTCCTTCACAAACTTTTTGGAGTTTGGTGTATGAGGTGCTGTAAAACATGGTGCACTGTTTATCTGTGGCAATAAAAGAGTGGTTATGAGAAGTGGCTAACAGACAGAGCTGCCCAAGGTCAAGTCATCTGCTTTCTGAACTGGTAAGCTCTCCCATCACTTAACAATCTCTGAAGTGCCTGAGTAGTTCAACGTGGGATCCTTCATTCAACAAAAGTTTATTGAGTACACACCATGTGCCTGGCGCTGTGTTAGATACTAGGCATGCAAGGATGAAAACACTTTGGGGTTGGTGGGAAAGATACACCAACAATTTCAATGCAATGTGAAAAGTGCTATCACAGAGCTATCTGCAAACTGTAATGGGAATGCAGGGTAGAAATTTTCTGGGAAGATCAAAGAAATAGAAGGGTATACTAACAGTGAATACCACAGACAAACTTGAGGCAAAAAATTTTAAGTTTGGCAACATCATCCAGTTATTTTAAAAACAAAGTGAGAACTGAGACATGAAATGATTTTCTCAATGTCATGAAGTAGATTGGATTTAGTCTTTTAAAAAGAAACCTGTATGCAATAGTTGGAATATTCTGGTTGGGACTATTATGAAATGGGTTCTAAGTGAGGCTATATATAAATCGATCGAATGGGTCTCTAGTGGGTTTCTATTGGTTATGTGAAAACTATCTGTGGGAAGCCATTCTCGCACGTGATTGGGCACCTCCCGGATTGGGTGTGAGGCATTCTGGCCAAACTGTGTTGGAGCTATCCCCATCCTCTCCAGGTTCGAGAGTCTGTCCGTGTGGGGGGTGTGACTGACCATTGACCCTGAGACCAATCACTGACCCTGACCTTGGAATGTTGCCCCCTCGACCTTCATTGGATGGAATTTTCCCCTGAATTTCTTATTCCCCCCAAAAAGGCCAACCCTGGCGTGCTTTCTCTCTCTCTCTCTCTCCTGCTAGTCCTAAGTAAGCCTTGCTGCCCCACCTGGTGGTTCGAGGCGAGAGCAAGAGGGAGGGCCGTCTCAGACCTGGTCATAGAAAAAGGTAATGGAGTCTGTGTGTTTATTTTGATCTCACTAGTTAACTTCTATGCTACCAACCTCTTGTATGAAACCAGCGTGCTGGCCGCGCGGTGGAACTCTCAATTAGTTTTCTGAAGAAATTTTAGAGTAAAGCGGATTACCTGGTCTGTGATATTCATACACTGTAAAAGTGGCAGGATTCAGAAACCCAACTTCGAAAAGTTCAAATATCCGGAATCGGACACAAAGGAAATCGCTGGAGGGAATCTGCTTGACAAATTCAAGGATTTAAGGAAATGATGGGAGAGAAGAAATTCATAATAGCTTACTTTATACATTTTAAAGGCAATAGGAAGTGGAAAGGGGACCTTACCGAATTCAGCTGTAGAATGACATGTCCATCTTTGATTTGGTAATCAGTCAATAGTTGATCTACCCCTTCCACAAGCTAAGGAAGGAAAGAGGAAAGCTTACATTTCATTTTGTTATCTTTATGTTTAATTGCACTCTCTTGATGATGGGATGTTTAACTAAAGGCATGTGATTCACTATTCAAAGAAGTTCAAGAGCAGTTTTCTCCTCTTGGAAAAAACCTGAACATGTTAGCACAAGCACTCACACTCTTTGGACTGTGCTAGTATATGCCCTGGCTTCACTTGTGTAAATCAAAACATAGGTAGATTATTGTTTTGGAAAGAAAATTTGGGGTGATTGCATGAAAGGGACAAATGAGAATGAAAAGACAAACTTGTCTATAAAAATAACACAGAAAAGAAATCCAAACATTCACAGCAACTTTTAAAATAAAAACACTTGCAGCTTGTAAATCTTCTTGGTTTGCACCGATGCCAGTGGGCAAGGAGATGTCCATCACTGCATGGGAGGACCCGGATGATGATTCCTCCTTGCTGGGCTTGTAGCTAAATGAATGAGAGATTAGGAATTGGAATAAGTAAATGAATAAGATGCTTTAATAAAGGACTCTATACTCTAAATTTCGATTTGGGTCTCCATTTAGCTGTTCCGGTCCCTTACATGGGTTAAAGTCTCTGAATTTTAGGGTTGTAAGAGATCTTTGGCTCATCTATTCTCTTTCCTTGATTTGTCCAGTAATCTCAGTATAGCCTATTCTGAAGCACAGAAGACACCAGTCCAGGTGAACTAGCTGGAGAAACTGAGGACAGAGTAAAGACACTCAGCCAAGGTTACATGGCTAGTTCATTCAAATACAGGTTTCTTGATTCTCACTCGAGTTCATTTAAATTGAGTACATTTTAAATTGAAAATTAGTTGTATTATTGAGAGGGACTCCATAAGTGTGTCTAGGAAGAAAATACACTTAAATGTCAGCAGCTATTTTCTCCGGTTGTGAGATCACACTTGATTATCTCATTTCTCCCCCTACTTTACTCTGTTCTTAAAAATTCCCTCAAAAGGTAGATTTGAAAGAAGAGTTCCTTGAGGACAGTCCCTTTCTGAGAATCATGCTAGTGAGAAATTAGTGGAAAAAAGGCAAAGATGAAGCAGGAGGTGTTTTTGGTTTTTTTGTTTGTTGTTTTTGGTTTTGGTAAGAAAGGAAAGAATGCCGAGAGGGAGAAACAGGAAGCCTGGGTTTTATCCCAATTCTGCTGAGAGATCTCCACAAGTCATTTCCCCTTTCTAAGCTCATGGGTAAAATGATCAGTGAAGAAGCATAAACTTGTGTTTTACATTTGTCTTTACGATTCTGAGGCTTTGGCTGAGTGGCAGAGGCTCGGCACTACCATTAAGGGGAGTCAGAGGACTGAAAGTGGGGGCAGAGGCAAGGCCCCTGCAGAGAGCTGGGTTCCAGCCTCCACACAAGAGGCAGCTGTGTCCTGGAGGCTGGAGCCGGGAAGGGCAGACAGGATAAAAGGAAGAAACTGAGAAGATGGCCTCATAAGAGGGGGAATGAATGGATCTCACCCAAAGGAATGAGCTAGTGAAACCGGAGACACTGAGTCGGTGAGGTGTCAGGGCACCTCTTCCTCAACCACACATAAGGGAGCACTCACAAAACGCCTCTATTAGTAGTTTTAGGTAGACTATTTACCCCAAAAATAAAGGATTAGGAAATCTCTGACTCATAAAAACTTAACCCCATTCTCCACCAAGCTAATCATTTAAAGCAGAACTTAAGACTTCTTTGAATGTACTGTGACACCCGCGCCCTCTCCCTAATTGGATGGGCAGAGGCAGAGAACTCTGGCTCACAGATGCAAATACTCCAGGACAGGATGGAAAAGGCCCCCCCCTCCACCCCCCTGTGGAGGGTGTCTATGAAAAGGTCGCTGGAGCCTTGATGACTGGTTGCCATAGAGACCGTTTCAACCACAGAACAGAAATGCTCCTTTCAGGAAGCCCTTTGCCTGCTGCCAAAACCAGCAATCTTCCCCAAGGCATTTTGTTGTGAGAGAAATGAAATCCTCTTTCCCCCTCTCCTTTTCTTATGAACATAACAGAGAGGTTGTAAAAAGCTAAATGCACGAAAGAGACCCTCAGAACACAGAGAGCATGTGCTGGGATTTTCTTTCTTTCTTTCTCTCTGTCTTTTAGTCTAGAGAGAGAATATTTGAAAGCAAAGAATTTCTTACATGAATAAGAACTACACAGTTACTTTTGGAATTGACCCAACCTAACTTCTGTATCACAGAGCCCAAAACATATTCCACCGGCCTTTTTTGAACATTCTGTCTCCAATTTGTACAAACCAAAAGAGAGACTATTCAACATGACATTTTAACTTCCTTTTGTACATTGACGATGTGAAATTAGGCTTCCTGTCAATGAAGACAAATGAATGAATTTTTTATAAAGAGCCTTTTGGGGTGTAGCAGGGTTTCGGACATTTAGAACTGGCAGAAATGTTAGGCTAAGACTGTTCAGTTATTCTTGTTTTACAGAAAAGGTTCAGAGAAGTAAGCTGGTTTGCTGAAGGTCACTGCAGTACATTCAGGCAGAGGTGGCTCACAGGTGTGCACCACTCCATCGTCAAGAGCCCTTCCTGGTACCAACTCCAGAAGCCTCCCTGTAGAGTCCTGTGCACAGATTCTGGCTGTGCCCAGAAGTTTGCTCACACCTCCCTGAGACAACTGCAGTGGGTTTAAAGAGAACCATGATTGTGTCTCCTCTTCAGTCAACCCAAGAAGAGGAATGGCAGTTAGGAGGAAGCGAGCTGCTGGAAAAAGGTGACCTTCATGGAAAGATGTTAGGAAATGAAGAAAGATGCTCAAGAGAGAACAGAGCAAGGACCGGCCAAGGCAGGAGGCAGGGAACGCTGGAAGGAAGCTACACTGCCAAGGAAAGAAGACTAGGTAATGAAGGAACCTGAAGAAGAGTAATGTCTTACTAAGGAAGTCGGGGCCTAATCCAATATGACGGAGATTAGGGCCGACTTTTTCTTCTATTAGATGCAGGGTCTCTGGTTTCATTCCTAGGTCCTTGATCCAATTTGAGTTTTGTGCATGGTAAGAAATAGGGGTTTAATTTCATTTTGTTGCTTATAGGATTCCAGTTTTCCCAGCACCATTTTTTGAAGAGGCTAACTTTTTTCTAATGTACGTTTTTGGTGTCTTTGTGTAATATAAGATAATTGTGATTATGTGGGTTAATCTCTGTGTCCTCTATTCTATACCATTGGTCTACCAGTCTGTTTTGGTGACAATACCATGCTGTTTTTGTTCCTCTTGCTCTGTAGTATAGTTTAAGGTCTGGTATAGTGATGCCACCTGCTTTACCCTTCCTGCTAAGGATTGCTTTAGCTATTTTGGGTCTCTTATTTTTCCAGATGAATTTCATGACTGCTTTTTCTATTTGGAATTTGAATAGAAATTTTTCTATTTCTATGAGGAATGTCATTGGGATTTTGATTGGAATTGCATTAAATCTGTATAGTGCTTTTGGAAGTATGGTCATTTTGACAATATTAATTCTGCCTATCCAAGAACAAGGGATATATTTCCATTTTCTAAGATCTTCTTTAATTTCTTTCTTTTGCATTCTGTAGTTTTTGTTGTAGAGGTCTTTCACTTATTTTGTTAGATTGATTCCCAAGTATTTTACTTTTTTCTGAGGCTATTGTAAATGGGGTATTTTTCCTCGTTTCCCCTTCAGAGGATTTGTCACTGATAAACAGAAATGCCTTTGATTTATGGGTGTTGATTTTGTATCCCGCTACTTTGCTGAATTCATTTACTAATTTAGAAGTTTTCTGGTGGAATTTTTTAGCTCTCCTAGTTATAGTATCATATTGTTGGTAAATAGTGCTAATTTGAATTCTTCTTTCTCTGTCTGTATCGCTTTAATTTCTTTCGTCTGTCTAATTGCACTGGCCAATGTTTCAAGAACTATGTTAAATAGAAGTGGTGAAAAAGGGCATCCCTGTCTTGTTCCAGTTTTTAGAGGAAATGCTTTCAATTTTTCTCCATTTAAAATGATGTTGGCTTGGGACTTAGCATAGATAGCTTTTACAATGTTGAGATATGTTCCTGTTATATCAGATTAGGCCCCGACTTCCTTAATAAGACTCCTATTGCATAAGAATTAAAATCCAGAATTAATAAATGAGATGGAGTCAAACTAAAAAGCTTCTTTTCAGTAAAAGAAACAATTAGTGAGGTGAATAGAGCACCTACAACTTGGGAGCAAATTTTTACCACTTACACATCAGATAGAGCACTAATCTCTAGGGTATATAAAGAATTCAAAACAAATAATCCAATCAATAAATGGGCCAAGGACATGAACAGACACTTTTCAGAAGGTGATATACAATCAATAAATATATGAAAAATATTTAATCTCTAGCAATTAAAGAAATACAAATCAAAACTACTCTAAGATATCATCTCATTCCAGTCAGAATGGTAGCTATTAAGAATACAAACAACAATAAGTATTGTGGAGGATGTGGGCAAAAAGGCACACTCATACATTGCTGGTGGGACTGCAAAACGGTGCAGCCAATCTGGAAAGCAGTATGGAGATTCCTTGGAAAACTGGGAATGAAACCACCATTTGACCCAGCTATCTCACTCCTCAGTCTATACCCAAAGGACTTAAAAACAGCATATTACAGGGACACAGCCACATCAGTGTTTATAGCAGCCCAATCACAATAGCTAAACTGTGGAGCCAACCTAGATGCCCTTCAGATAGATGAATGGATAAAGAAAATGTGGTATATGCACACAATGGAACATTGCTCAACAATAAAAGAGAATATAACCATTGGCATTTGCAGGTAAATGGATGAAGTCGGAAAAGATAATGCTAAATGAAGTTAGCCAATTCCAGAAAACCAAATGTCAAATGTTTTCTCTAATATAAGGAGGCTGATTCATAGTGGGGTTGGGAGGGGGAGCATGGGAGGAATAGATGAACTCTAGATAGGGCAGAGGGGAGGAAGAGAAGGGGAGGGGGCAAGCGGGTAAAAAAGATGGGATGAGATGGACATCATTACCCTAAGTACATGTATGAAGACACAAATGGTGTGAATATACATTGTATACAACCAGAAATATGAAAAATTGTGCTCTGTATGCGCAATATGAATTGTAATACATTCTCCTTGAATTGTTAATGATCAAATTAAAATTAAAAAAAATTAAAAAAATAAATATACCATCTAATTTAATGCTTAAAAAAAAAGAAGAATGTAAACAGCTGGCTGGGAGGCAGTGGAAAAGAATTGCTGTTTTTGGGGATCAATGGTCTCAGATTGCACTGATTGACAGAATTGGTTTAGATACTAAATTGGGTGTCAGGGGTCAGGGACATGAGCCCCTGGCTCTGCATCTAACTGTGAGAACTTGGCAGCTTACATTACATCTTTGGGTCTTAGTCTATTTCTAAAATCAGTCTATTTCTACAGTATTCCCAAAGCCCTCTTTAAATCTAATGTTACCCAGCCCCTCTGAATGTCCAAGATGTCCATATGGAGGGCTTTGGTATCATGTGTGATTACAAGTAAAAACAGCAAAGCACCTCCCACAGATACCACTGTTGTTGACAATACCAAGAGTTAAGGAGACAGAACATGACAGGGGCCTGGAGAGGAGAGGGAAGGAGACTAGGTCCAGCCCTTGCTTCCACCACTAACTGATGCACTCTTAGTGAAGCCAAAAATACCTGCATATTTTCAAAATCAGCACACATGTTCACAAACATTTGAGGATGGTGGCTTGGTAAGAGACTAATGGCTCCCCAGGCATGTCCATGTCCTAATCCCCCAAACCTGGGATATGTTAAGTTTATGTGGCAAAAGGGACTTTATAAATATGATTAAATTAAGGATCTGAGGTAGGGAGATTTGGGAGGATTATCTGGGTGGGCATAATAGAATCGCGGGTCTTTTACAGGGAAAGAAGCAGAAGAGTCAGAGAGGGATGTGATGATGAAAGCGGGCATCAGAGTGAGGAAAGGCAACTGGAAAAGCTCAGATGCTGGCCTTGAAGATGGAGGAAGAGGCCACAAGCCAAGAGACACAGGCAGCCCCTAGAATCTGGAAAAGGCAAAGAAATGGATTCTTTTCTAGAGCCTCCAGGAGAAACAGCCCTACCTACTCCTTGATTTTAGGACTTTTGATTTCTAGACATGTAGAAGAATAAATTTGAATTGTCATAAAGTTTGCAGCAAATTATTACTTAACAGCTATAGGAAACTAAGACAATAGCCAATTTAGGACCCTGGGTCCAGTCACAGATGGTTTAACATAGAAGGTTCTCAACTTTGGCTCCATTTAGAATGGCCTCTGGGGTGAGGTGTGAGCTTTGGTCATTTCGGAAACTTCTGACTTTAATGTGCAGCCTGGGTTGAGAACCACTGGCTGATAGTGGCCAGGGACTCGGTTGAATGAATTATTTTTCTAAGAGGGCAGGAACTGCTAATGGGAGACTCTTTTGCATTTTCTTTTCCTAATGCATCATATCTCCACTCTCTGAAAGACTGAAAAAGTTATTATATTGTTTAAACAAAAAATCGAGGAGAACCCATGTTGTTCTTTATAATAAGTAGCTATAGAGTAAAACCTGTTAAATTTTGCCATTTAAAAAAAATTGAACAATTTCATATCTTCTGGACTTCTTAAGATTCAAAAAGATACAAAGAAGTAATACTATGATAAAATCAAGACCTTGAACTCCACACTCGTCTTGTGGAAATGGCTCACCTGGCACAGGCTACAATGCGCTTGTATCCTGAGTCACGGAAGTCACTGTAGCTGGATGCTAGTACAAACAAAGGAACAAATGAGCAAATGTGAAGCAAAGTGTTTTGAGTTGTCTTGGAACCTGTCAGAACAGAATCGTTAACGATCAAGTCTCTGAACATACTTCAAAATGATTTGACATTTGGAAGTTGGCACTTTTGGTGATTTCAATGAAATTCATGGCTATGGGCAACATCAGGAAATCTTTAAATAATTACAACAGCTCTTTGCTCTCAAAGAACTTATAATTTAAGGAAGACGACATTTAAGATAAGTATATATTGGCAATGTGTCTGGGAGATTCGGAAGGAGGAAGAGCCAATGGCTGCATTTGCTGGTGGTTGCAAGAAAGCTGGTAGAAACTGAGCCAAAATGGAAGCCATCAGGACAGAGGCAGCAGCAAGGCTCTGACCCTGGGGCAAAGGTCAAAGGAAGTGGTTTGGAGCCTGCAAGTGGACTTGATTTTGGACAGGGAAGTAAGATCCAATTAATAGAGGCTTGGGAGGGCCACAGGTTACAAAGGTGGAAAAAAAGAAAGGAACATAAGAAAAGGAGGAGGGGGAGGAAAAGGAGGAGGAGGAGATAGAAGAGAGGGAGGAGGAGGAGGAAGAGAAGATGGGGGATGGGAGAGGAGGAGTTGGAGGAGTTGGAGGAGGACATTGAGGAGGGGTGGGGGAAGAAAAAGACAATGAGGACTGTGAATACTGCAGAGAAGAACAAGGTAAAGATGGAGGCAGAGGATTGTGCATTTGCTGGATCCCTTGGAGTCCAGCAGAACAGCTAGGGATGGAAAAATTCACAGGGTTAAAAGAGAATTCAAGGTCCTAAATGAAATGCTGGCACAGAAGTAAAGGGGATTAAAAGGAATTAGACCTTTCTGCAGCTTTACAACTAATTACAATCCTTAAAAGTAACAGGATCAAAACAACTTCAACAATAGTGAATGAATTTAGGTTAGTTGTTAGATTATTTAATGTTAGTTTCCAACTGTTATTAAAGAGTTACGCCTATTATAATTGCAGTAATGTTTACGTGGATATTAGCCTGCTTAAGAATTGGGTTAAGACATTTTGTTTCTTTAGTGAGACATTTTTCCTAACCAGGAAAGCTCTCTTTTTTGACATTCTTTATGTTTAGCCAAAATTACAAGTAAGTCATTTTGTTTTACCTTCAATATCCTGGGTATCAATTTTCAAATAAAAGCTGCAAACTTCCTCAGAGGTGCTGGTTTTATGGACTATCGTTTTTACCTACATGGAGACATGGAAACAAGAAGGTTCTATTTAAAATGGCAAAATAAAAAAGGTATCATGGCAGTCCTGCTGACGTAAACGGGGTGCTTGAAGTTTTGTTTTCAGAATCCAGTATGAATGTTGGACACTAACGACTCATTTCCCAGCAGCTGAACTTGCAGCAAACTCCAAACCTGAAACATAGCTGGGAAGCCCAAAGTAAACAAACAAACAAAAAAATGACCTTTGCCCAGGTACATTCTTGGTCTGAGCACCTTACACTATAGAAAATTCCCAAGGGTCTTGTCCCGGAGCTTGGGCGCTTTAATTTTACACATGACCCTACAAGGCTAGGAAGTGTGGTTTTACACTAGCCCATACACCATCAAGGCAAGGTGTGTTGGGTGGGTGAGGGAACTGCCAGAAGTAGACACAGTGAGAGCAACCAGGATGGCAGAAAAGGACCACCCCTTCCTCAGGCAATCTATAATCAGACCTTGAAGGGATAAATGGACCCAAGGTAAGAACAAAATTAAAATCACCAATAGAATTTTAAATTCAGCTCAGAGCACACAGCTTAAGACTGCAAGGATATATGTAAATAAATTAGAAAAACTTGTAACCACAAAAATGGCTAAAATAGAAGAAACTTCAACCTTGATGTATAATACTTCAATCCTCAAACAGGTTGGATAAACAAGATGCGACATGTTACTAACCAAAGAAAACATACATACATGCACAATGTATGAGGCACTCATAAAAAAATTATAGGTCCATACATAGTCATGTACCACATAGTCATTAGGCCGTTTGATGTTGTGTGAATATCATAGGGTTTACTTACAAAAGCTAGGCAGCTATGACATCACTAGGTGATATAATCTTATAAGACCATTGTCTATGTGGTCCCAGGATTGACAGCAATGTCATTATGCGTTACATGACTGTGTAATTAGGTATATATAATTTCCACAAATATATAGAAGGTATGCATATAAGGATTAACATGTCATTATCAAAAATAAATTGTGTGAAGAGCTGTCAAGATAGCTAGAAAGAATTAGATAATTCTCTGAATCCTATTTTAGTCATGGTTATACAAGTTCAAATTTCTGTGACTTTGTGGTAAAGTCCTTAACTTTTACGTTACCTAGTACAAATAGAGACACAGCTCCCTACTGACTTCCAGTTAAATACTTACATGTACTGTAGCCAGGCCATTGCTAAATCCTGTACTGATGACAAGGTCATCATTGAGAGGCACCTGGAAAGAAATCAGGCTTTTTTATTATTCAATAGGGAGAGAGGATGGAGCAAATAAAAGAATTGACTGACACCTGCCAGTCTCCTCTCAGAGCCCTGGTGAGAGTCAATGGATAAGACATATGCCCATAGTTGGCACTAAAAGCTGCTGGAGCTCACCCCTTGCATTCCATATGTAAGCAAGATGCCTGAGCTCTCTTGAATGACAGCTCACTCATGTCAGAGGTCCTTTTTGGTTGCATTACTGTTACAGATGATCATAGTAAACCTGGGTCTTCATTTCCTTTTGCCAGTCAGCTAAGTTTCTAGCTCAGGAAAGGGCATCCTATGTGCCAATGGAGGATGCTTTCATTAGCATGGTGGCCCTCTTCCACCTCTTGATGGCTTATTTCCTCCCACTTGTCTCTGGCCTTGTTTGTCCAAACTCCTGGCACCCCACTCAAGCCTTCTAAACCCATCACTGCTGTTGCTTTCCTTCCCAACCTACTAGGAGGAAATGAAGACAAGAACTCAGTTAAGTAATTCTCCTCTCGAGAGAATTTCTATCCTTTAAATTCCCAATTCGTGGAAAGCCTGGGAGAGGTCATGCTGAGCAAGGGCCGAAGTGTCAGTCTGTAGCCTCCCCTGACCCATGCTTAGCACACAAGTGCAAAAAGGATCCAGGGTGCATTCAGGTTTGTCATCCTTTTCTCAAATGTTAGGAGACTTAAGAAAATTGGCCAGCTTTCCTATTCTACCTGACAGAATCTTGCCACATTAACTGGAAAGCTAGAAAAAAAGGTTTCTATGGACACAAATACGTTTGGGAAATGCTGGGCAATGGGCCCACCTCGCTCCTGAGTCACATTAAAGAATAGGAGAATCTTATACTAAAGAACTCATTTCACTTGATTTATTTTATTTTATTTCATTTTATTTTGAATTTTTTAAAAAAAATATTTATTTTTTAGTTATAGGTGGACACAATGTCTTTATTTTACTTTATGTGGTGTTGAGGATCAAACCCAGTGCCTCACACATCCCAGGCGAGCATTCTCCCTCTGAGCCCCAGCCCGAGCCCTCGGTTCACTTAATTTAAACGAAAATTTCCGCACTTATTCAATGACCTTTCATTTCATGTAACATGTTTAAAGAAGAGCGTGTGTACAGAATTCCAAACTAGATAATAACAGCCCAGATTTCACATGGAAGCAGCATTCTGGGCTGAGGTTCAAGGTATTTTAAGATGACCAGAGACTCTTACAAAATTACCCCTATGGAGAAAAGCACTTCCAGCTACGTCAAACAAGCCCACTAGGATCCTTAGGCTGATAGCTTCTCATTAGAACTTGGACTCAGAATGTGAATCTGGTGAGTTTTAAATGCTCAGGGGTGGGATGGGGATGGCTCAGTGGTAGAAGGCTTGTCTGGTAAGAGTGAGGACCCAGCACCACAGAAACAAAACAGCAAACAAAACCAAACAAAAACCAATAATTAAATGAATGTGTCTCAAGAACAGGAGACACATTCATAAACTAAGGACCATAAGAGCAAATGATTACAGAGGCTGAGTGAAGCTAGTGAGGACATAAATGCATATTTCATGTGACTAGTGAAAATTAGCAAATTAAAAATGACATGCCAATCAATGCCTAGAGCCCTATCACTGATCTTTTGATTTTCTTTTTTAAAATATTTTATTTCACTTATTTATTTTTATGTGGTGCTGAGGATCGAACCCAGGGTCTCGCATGTGCGAGGCCAGCGCTCTGCCACTGAGCCACAACCCCAACCCTGATCTTTTGATTTTTTTAAGGGAAGCTGATAATCATATTTGTATTTGAAATCTCTGGATCTTTAAATGTTGACATAGACCTGTATTCAGGTCTGTATCTTTTTAAAATTATGGGCCACTGGTTTGCAATTTTTGCATTAATTTTATTTTTATTTTTTATGCCTATTTAATATTTTTCACAAGCATAGAATTGTGGAGGATGTAGACAGTGAGGACTATCCCAATTATCTGTATCTTTAAATATGCTTAATAATACAAACATAATAATTAGAAAAGTAAATGTTAGCATCTGCATACTGAGTGCTAATAGTAATACAGAACCCACTTTCCCCCAGTGTGTCCTTGTCTTTGGGAAATTTTCATAAGTCATTAAAGTTTTCACTTTTAAAAATCCATTAGGAGCAAAGGACATGAAGCAAGGAGTTTGGGGACCTAAAGGCCAATTCCTACCTGGTTACAGTCTGCATATAGGACTGAGGCCAAAAGAACCACCAGGAGTCTTCCATTTCTGCTCTCCCACTCTGCAACTGAACCTTTGTGTGTGACATACCTATATCTGGAATGTTCTTCCCTTCTCTTTGCCTGGCTACCTCACTCCGATTGTTCCAGATCTGAGCCACACATTTGGGCATGTTAAGACTATGACCCCATCTTTCAGCCTGGATCAGGAGGCCCCCGCTTGGAACTTCCACAGATTTATTGAGGCTCTTCATTTTCTCTGTCTGCTTAACTGACTCTCTTTCCCCAGTACACAGGTTCTTTGGGTTTTACTTTGGAGTCCCCAGCACTCACGATATAACAGGCACTCTTCCTTAAGGCACCCCAGGTACTCAGCATATGTTTAAATGGTTCATAAATACATTTGTACAGTAAGGGCAGGACAGATGATTTTGGTGGTCTTATCCCATGGTGAAATATTATGAAAAAAATCTTTATTTACCTCTACTGGCCTCCCAAGGAAATTCTTTTCGGTCACCTTGTAATGGTGGAAGTCCCCTTTGTGCTTGTAGGAGACATTGATGTCCATATTCAATTGGAGTTGTTTAACCAGGAGTGAATATTCTGTCAGGCCCTCGATGGCATTGATTGTATCCTATCAACAACCAGCAAGGCATGAATCACATTGAGCTTATTTACATCCCCCCGTTTGACAAATGCCCTTCCTTATGAATGTGTGCATCATCGTTGTTGGAGGCAAAACTCCAGTGCCCAAGTGCAACCATTGTGGAGGTGGAAGGATGCTGCTGTTTGTAGGAACAGGAAGTAAGTGTGGTCTCAGACCTGGGTTCTCTACATATTCTGTTCAGGTAACCTCGGACAAGTCACTCTGCTGAATGCCCCCAACTCTATTTTCCCTTCCCAATATTCCCTGTTTTAGTGTTTCCTTTCTTCCGTTTTTAGCACCCATCTCCATTTGTTATACTTTTATTTGTAGTTAGTTAAAATACTTTTCTTTATAGTTAGTGACCTCCCTCTCTGTCATATGATTCATGGAGTGAGTGAATACTGTATCTTGGTATCTGCGATGGTTTGATTGAGTCCCCAGGTTCAGATTGGAAACCTAATCCCCAGTGTGGCAATGTTGGAGATGGATTCTAATGAGAAATATCTAGGTCTATGGGAGAACCACCCTCACTAATGGATTAATGCCATTTTTGTCCTTATAAGTATGAGTTTGACCCTCTTTTGTGTGTGATTGTTCTCTTTCTTTCCTTCTCTTGACCTCTTTGCCTTCCTTCAAGGGATGATGCTGCAGGAAGGCCCTTGCCAGTTGCCAGATGATGGCACTTTAATCTTCTACTTCCCAGCCTCCCAAACCATGAGCTAATCCATTTCTGTTCAGTATAAACCGCCTACTCTGTGGTATCTGGTTCTAGCAGCAAAAAACTGATGGATACAATATCTATTGCATTTAGTAGGTACATATGATAGCTACTCAAGAAATATTTGTTGAAGAATAAATGAGTAAATTTATCATTTTGGGTTTCATCTTCCTTACCTATAAAATGAAGAAATGTGGCTAGATCAGAGATGTTACATACACAGCTACTCTCTTTGTGCATGCCTGTGGAAGCCAGTGCTAATCAGTAGGGCATTTTTTCCCCTCTCCTAAGCCTACAGTTGTCCTCAAGACAAATCCATTAGATGATTACTAGATTAATCCTTCAGGATCCCTGAACTGTATATTTACATATATCTATAAATATATGTAGATATACACATGTCATCATTATCTAAACACTCAGGGGGCAGAAAAGATGTCAATATTTCAGCTTAATTTTGAATATAGAATATAGGCAATTCCATCATTGTACAAACATCACAGAGTATACTCACACAAACCTAGGTATAGGACAATCACTCAACGTGGCCTCTTTATGCAATGAAGAGATGCGGTAAACACAAGATGTGTGTGAGGTTTTTGTAAGTAGAGTGAGTATGCTTTTAAGTAATAAGAAGTGTACTATAGGGGTGGGGGTGTAGGTCAGTGTACAGTTTGTGCTTAGCAAGCTCAAGGTGCAAGATTTAATAATCCCAGCACCCAAAATAAAAGTATAGTATATAAATAGACAAAACCAGTAACATACTCATTTATTATCAAGTATTAAGTGCATAATTGTATTGCTATGCTTTTATATGAGCGGTAGTGCAATAGGTTTGTTTTTTACCTGCGTGACCACAGGCATGTGAATAACATGTTACACTATGACATTATGATAAGCACATCATCACTAGGGAACAGGAATTTTTCAGGGCTCCCTGGAACCACTGTTGTATATGTGGTCTCTCATTGACTGAAATGATATTTTGTGGCACATGACTGTATTTTATACAACTACATAATAGAATATAAAATATACATACTCAAATAATTGATAGGTAGGTAAATATAACAATCAGTGTTTCTCTTACTTTTTAGTTGTTTTCTGCAGGGAAGGGTAAGGGTACCTTTGACTACATGGTAAAGACTATGTTACATAGGATGTGATATAATTATGTATATATATATATAATATGTATATAAACATATATAGTATAATGTAATTATACACACACACACACATTATTGCTTTAGTCAAGTAAACCAGTCACCTTGAATCCTTTTGGAACAAATTATTATTTTTTTAAAAGAACTTACAAGGCTTTCATGGTCTCTAAGAATTAGGAAGGAATCCCTGGGCTTAGTTGGGAGATGGAAGTCCTGAGTTAGGGTCTGCCACTAATGCCCTGAGGAAACTCCCTGGGCTCACTTCCCTCTCCACATAGTAAGGATATCAATGCAGATGGCTCCAGGGGGCCTTCACTTCTAAACATTTACTTTTATCTATAGTGTGCTCATTTGGTGGGCAAAGCATGGAGGCCAGAATAAGTGTGGAATGTGTGGTGTGAGCAACAATAAAAATGTCTACAGGAGGATAAAAGAAGCCACAAAAGTACTACCTGGGTGGAGTAGAAGCCGCCTCCGTACCTCTGCTCCTCCGCTAGCCATTTGATGATGGGTTTGACATAATTCATGTCTTTCAGGCTGAGGCTGGTGAGCAAGGCGTAGGCGGTGGTTTCCACCATACCTGCCGTGCCCGTGTTAGGTGTGGAGCTGTCTCTACGCTGGAGATTGTCTTTCCAAAAGCGGTAAATGGGTGGATTACCTGATATCAACACATCACAGAGGATTAAAAATGTGAATATGACACCACTTTAGTAGTGAGTATATTATCGCCTTCTCATTCCTAGAAGTTTCTGATTTTCTTTCTTTCTTTTTTTAATATTTATTTTTTAGGTGTAGATGGACACAACACAATGCCTTTATTTTTATGTGGTGCTGAGGATTGAACCCGGGTCCCGCCCGTGCTAGGGGAGCGCTCTACCGCTGAGCCACAATTCCAGACCCTCTGATTTTCTTTATATGAAGACATTCCTCAAGGGTCTGATACAAAATGAGACCACTTATGACAAGTGTTACTTGTCTTTATTTGTAAAGGTCAATGTGGAAAGGCCACATGGACCAGGGCGAGGTGGTTCAGTGGAGTGGAAAATGCAATAAGCTGGAGATTAACAGACCCAGGTGCCAGTCTCTCCTCTAGGATTAACACCTCTGTCAATCTGGGCAAGTTCCCTTGGTCAATCTCCTGGTACTTCAGGTAGATAATACTTTCTTCCATGCAGTGAAACTTAAATGAGATTCTAAATGCGAAAAATATCTGTAAACCAGAAAGCACCATGCACACAGAAAAGATCACTACTATTATTGACACTACAAAGTAAATTGGAGAACCTTTCTCCCTGAAGGAAAAAAATCCACATATTGGGAATTATTAGATTCTACCCACATCCTTATTAGATCTTTAATTATCTTCTTCCAATTTAAAGTACCAAAGGGAATTTCATATATGCAGCACTTTTCATAACATAGATTCTAAATTATATATAATATACATCCATATTATATATAATATGTATACATATATGTGTGTATATATAGTATATAAAATATATTATATAATATATAAATGTATTATATAATACGATATATATATATATATATAATTGCTTTAGTCAAGTAAACTAGTCACCTTGAATCCTTTTTGGAACAAATTATTATTACATTTTTTAAAAACCTTGAAATCATTTTTGATGGTTAGTAAAAAGTTTCATGTGTCTGTTTACAACTCATTAATTACATTATTTTCATGACCTTGAACAAGATACTTTCCTATCCCTTTGCTACATTTGAAATGAAAGATTTAGTTTAGGTTCTGAAAGAAACTTCCAGCTTGAACATTATTTTAATTATAAAGTTCTTTTCTAGCTCTTAAATTCTATGATTTTCTGATCCATATCATAATATGGAAGATGTTTCTTTTGTGTGATTTTTGAAGTAGTTTACAAGAGGTTTGGAGGTATGTGATAAAATGTAGTCATTTTTCAGTGATGACAGAGTGAAGCTTTGTAGAAGGCCAAAGACCTCATTTAAAAATAAAATTTTTATAAAACTCCATCCAGGAGAGGGCTCAAAAGTGTCCAACCAAAGGGCTGGGGTTGTGGCTCAGTGACAGAGTGTTTGCCTAGCATGTGTGAGGCAGTGGGTTTGATTCTCAGCACCACATACAAACAAGTAAATAAAATAAAAAAGTTCATCAACAACTAATAAAAATACTTTTTTGTCTAACCAAGCTGATGACTTTTGCTACCTGGTAGAATATAAGCAGATCAACCACTTCTTTGCTCAAAATCCTCCAGTGGCTTCCCTTCTTACTCTAAGTGGAAGTTAAAGTTCTGGGGGGCCCTCTGGCCCTATAGCACTTTGACATGAATGAGACACAGACACCCCTTGCTGTGGAGGGAGGTTGCTGTCAAAACCACGGTGCATACCTTGAGGAGAAGAGCACAGGCTGGATTTCACCTTCCATTCACCAGCCTGCTTGGGTGCTGTACAGTTTAAATATGGCTTGTCATCCCCAAAGCTCATGATGGGGCTTGGTCCCCCATGCAGCAGGGATGGGAGGTGGAGCCTAAAGAGGAGTGTTTGGGTCATGGAGGTGGAGTTAATGAATAGGTTAATGCTTTTTCTCAGGGGAATGGATGAGCTATCCCAGGAGTTCAGTCCCCTTTTCTCTTTCCACATGTGCCCACTTGCTCATCTGCTTTCCACCAGAGGGTTCCATCAGAAGCTGAGCAAGCGCTGGCACCATGCTCTTGGACTTCAGAACTGTAAGCCCAAATAAACTTTTCTCCTCTATAAATTAACTGGTCTCTCGCCTTCTAACAACAGAAACTGGACTAAGGCAAGTGTCCTAATCATTGTACACAGAATCCTGAAAAGTCCCTGTAGTGGCCTCCAGTGTGTTACACAACCTTCTCTCACTCCCCCCCTGACCTCCCTTCCTGCTCCTCATCTCAACTTTCCCATGGTCACACTGGCCTCCGGTTACTCTTGGGGCACCAGGCAGGCTCATGCCTTGGGGCATTTGTGCTTGCTCTCTGTTCACCAGAAACATCCTTCCAGCAGCCACAGGGCTTGCTTCCTGACGTCCTTTCAGGTCTTTATTCGCATGCGGTCACGTGCTGTATGATATGTTTCAGTTAATCATGGGCTGCTTATACAACAGCATGTACCATATGACCTGAGTGTGTACCAGGCTATGCCATCTATGATCGTGTAAATATACTCTATTGTTCACACAATGGTGAAACTAATACGCACCCCACTGTTAAGTGACACACAGCTGCACCATCTGCTCTGTGAGGATTAAGCTGAAACATCTTACCTTAAATCCCAACCTTTACCCTTGTTATAACTTCTTTTCCTGCCTTATTTTTCTTCATATCGGTTATTACCAACCTGTTCACAGTTTTATTTTTGTATCATGTTTGTCTCTCCCCAAGTGGAATGTGCATTTCATAAGGGCTAGATTTTTTTTCCTTTGGGGTCTGTTTTCTTTATTTCTAGAGCCTAGGACAATGCCTGGCACATAGAAAGTGCCCCTAAGACACTCAACACACATTTAAAAAAAATATTTTTTAGTTGTCAATGGACCTTTGTTTTATTTATTTAAATGTGGTGCTGAGAATTGAACCCAGTGCCTCACACATACTAGGCAAGCGCTCTACCACTGAGCCACAACCTCAGCACCCCCCCCAAGACACATTATTTGAATGAAAGAATGAATACATACTTACTGAGTGAATGAATAAATAAACGAATATCAACACTTGGTGCATTGCAGCGTAACGACTGCTCCTTGAGAGCAGGGACTGGGTCTTGCTCAACCTTGTAGCCACCCACTTCCCCAAGTTTGCAGACTCTATGTGCTTAGTAAACATTTGCTGAGTAACTGTGCAGGATTAGTCTCACCTTTAACCACAGCTTCTCTCTTTAAGGCTGAAGTAATTAAACGAAACCTTGGGTGTGTTTTATCTCCCAGGGAAAGAGCATAGGCCACAATGGCCAGGGTAAAGGTGTTCTGGGGCGGGAGGGCATTTTCAAGCAGGAAGGAGTCCGCTTTTTCTAGGGCTGTGTTGATTTTCTGGAAACAAGAGCAGAAGAAACTCAAGTTTGCTTGGTCAAGCACCATCCTGTCAACTGATGAGCACAGCTCTCGGGGAGCACCATCAGGACAGGGGAGACGAGGGGTGGGAGGACACCACTGAATGGAAACGGACAGTGTCTCAGCAAAGCAATCCCTTCTGAGAGAAGGGGAAGAGCCTAACTTGGAAGAGACATGGTTGTCCAAATCAGGTCAGGCTTTTCACCTCTGAATTCCCACTTTCCTTTTAGAGATTTTTGTCCCTTAAGTTTCTGACTTCAACGTCAGGCCTGACCTCTGGAAAGAAGCACCGAGCACAGACACAACTGTCCCCTTCCCTTTCAGCAGAGTGGAGACAGGTGCGTGTGTTCAAAAGAAATTATGCTAAAAAAATAAGTAAAACTATAAACAGCAGAAAAGAGAGCCCAGTTGCCAAAGTACTTTCCGGTCCTATGAATTCCTGGGAAAAGACTTCTATCACTTTGGGCTGACACCACTGGAAGAGTGACTATGAACGAGAGTCTGGAGTACCTGGCTGGCATCCCCTGTGGCTCATCCTCCCCCCTCCACACATGCTTCTCCCACTCATGGCTGCAGGTGCCACCTGGTCCTCTAGGCACCTGGTTATCTGGTGTAAGTGTAAATGCAAATGTTTATTAAACAAACTAAAACTGTTTCTGTTCAGGTTCAGGTTCTGCAAATACCCTTGGTTTTTTCCATCTCGGTTCCGTCTCCTAGATTGAAGGACATGTCTCATTGAATTCTGCTGTGCAGATAGGAGATTTAACCTTAGCTCTGGGATCTAGCTCTTCCCACACCAAGAGAGCATCTCCATTAGCCTCTGGAAGCATCTATGTTGGTTCAAGTAGGAGGATCCTCTTTATTCCCCTCAGCTTCCAAGCAAGCAAAACAGAACAGCCCAAAGGAGCAGACCTGTGCTTGTGTGGCCCAAGTACTTGCATGTTACAAAGAGCTTCAGTTACTGAGTTTAATGGCAACAAGCATACAGCAATATGTACAGTAAGAGAGGGGAGCTGGAGACACTGGATCAGTCCTTCACAGTCCCCATTATTGTCCCAATTCTACAATTTTGTACTGTGTGCCACAGGATGATTACATTCACCTTATTCACAGGCATCCATCTTCTGAAGTCTCAAGTAGTTGAAAGGATGTAGTCTCTAATAGCTATTATAGTTTTGAAAGCCTTTGATTCTAGAGTTCAAGTTATTTTCAAGTAATGTGAAAAAGGAGGAAAAGAAACTTTTTTTCTAAGTGTCCTCTGATTGGTGGCTTCCCCACACTGCAGTAAATGGAAGGAAAGCAGACTCTGACTTACCAGCAGGGAGCAAATGTCAAAAGCCTTTCTAATCCCAATGACAACAAAGGCTGTGAGATACAAGGTGTTCTGTCCAGCCTCCACAGGCAACGTACCCTAAAAATAAACAATGTTTTAAAAAAGTAAAATGATCTGGTTCTAATCTCTTCTTTGAGGCCCACGTCCTGCCCTCCCTTCACGCACTCCACATTTCTCCATGAGCTCAGGTCTTCCTAGTCCAGGGCCTTCTGTTGCCCGTCTCCCCTGCCCCACCTCCTAGTCCCATCTGATACGTCTTCACCTCCCATCCTCAAATTCTCCCCCTCCTTCAAGATCCCGTGAAAATCCCAGCTCTTCTACAAAGCCCTGGTCTCCGTTCACCTGTATTTTTTCCCCCAAGGGTAGTGAAAATCCAGTGCAATGCTGATAAGACCTTCAGTGAAATAGATTCAACCCCATAATTTTATTTCCTAACCCTCACCATCTAGCTCACAAGGTCCCGGTTCTTTAAATGAACCACCTCCCCATTCTTTCCTTCTGCAATTCAAAATGCCAGGCATAACAGGTATACAAAAAATCCTCAATGTCACCAACCATGGGGGAATTGCAAACTGACACCACAGTGCGATGATATTACCTGACACCTGCTAGGATGCTACGAGCAAGACAACTAGCAAAAAGTGTTGGAGAGGACATGGAGAAAAGGGACCTCTGAGCACTGTTAGTGGGAATGTCACGTAGGACAGCTACTACGGAAAACAGAATGAGGTTTCTCAGAAAATTAAAATACAGAATTAGTATCTACCAGTACCACCACTGGGTATATGTCCAAAAGAGAGGAAATCAAGATCTCTAAGATACATTTTACCTCCATCATTATTTACAAAAGCCAAGATATGGAATCAACTTCAGTGTCCATCCATGGATACATAAAATATAGTGTATATATACACACAGTGGAATATTATTCAGCCTTTAAAAAGAAGGAGATCCTGTCATTTGTGACAACATGGATGAACTTGGAGGACATTATGTTCAGTGAAATCAGCCAGTCATTGAAAGACAAATATTGCTTATATTTGGAGTATCATAAAGTTGAACTCATAGAAGCAGTAATGAAGGCTAGGACTAGGGCTGGACTAGGGAGAGATTGGCAAAAGATAAAATTTCACTAAGAAGAATAAAGACACAGAAGATTGATTGTATAACAGACTATAGTTAATAACAAGGTAGTATGTCATTAGAAAATTGCTAAGAACTAGATTTTAAATGTTTTCACCACAAAAGAATACTTGTATAATCTGCTTATATATATATCAATAAAAAAGTCCAAAACAAAAAAAAAATAATGTGAGATAATACATATGTTAATTAGCTTGACTGAATCATTCTATAATGTATACATACACCAAAACATCAGGCCTTATGCCATCAATACATACGATTTTAATTTTAGTTAAAAAAAGAAATTTATTAATACTGATGAAAAACATCAGGCATGCTGTGGCTCTGCTTGGAACGCTCCTTTTGTGTCCCTCCTATTTCTCCCAGGAGCCTGGTCAAC